AATCGACAGCACCTCTCAAGATGACTCGAACAATACGAATAGCTTCGCGGATCTAGCTCGGGCAGCAGGCCGAGTTCAGGGCTCTCAATGCGACAGCTGGACGCGACTGATATATATGAATCGATCCCAGTGATTACCAGCCCTGCAGCTTACAGCTCGAGTTAAGTGCAGAAAGGCGACAACACCCCTCAGGATGACTCGAATACGAATAGTTTCGCGGACCTAGTTCAGGCAGCAGACCGAGTTTCGAGTTATGGATTCGACAGACGGACGCGCCTCATCTCTCCGAATCGATTCCAGTGATTACCAGCACTGCAGCCTCCCTGCAGCCCGAGTTCAGTGCAGAAAACTGTCAGCACCTCTCAAGATGACTCCAAAAACACGAATAGTTTCGCGGATCTAGCTCGGGCAGCAGACCGAGTTCAGACCTCTAGATGGAACAGACGAACGCGCCTGATAATTCGCAATCGATTTCTGTGAGGATGACCTCTGTAGCTGCCCTACAGCTCGAGTTAAGCACAAAATACCGACAACGCGTATCAAGATGACTTGAAACAGCCGATCCCGCCGCGATGCTTTTTTGCAGTAATATCTACCCGATCGAGCTGAGATCAAGATGGCGAGCGGGAATAAGATCGAATATGGTCGGAAAAAATACTAGAGCTCAAACGAATTGTTGAATTTCGAGAACAAAATTTTCAACCGACCAAAAGTCAGCAAAAGGTCCGTCGAGATTTTTCTTGCCAACTAGCTCTCGAGCGCGCCGGAATTACTCTTAAGCTTCCAGCAACTGGGCGCCGGCGGTAAACCGTCAACCTGTGTTACCGCCGGGGGACTCGTAGAGCTTCCTGACAACATATAATGTCGAAAAAAATTACACCGAAAAAATAGTTTTTCAGCCCGAGCTATTTCAGACCTCTCGGATGCAACAGCCGAGCGCCCCCGATGCTTCTGGATTGTCTTCTGTGCGAGCTCTGTAGCTCTCCTACAGCCCGAGTTACGTGCGTAAATCGACAGCACCTCTCCTGATGTCTCTGAATCGATTCCTGTGATTACCAGCCCTGCAACCCCCTCTACAGCACGGGTTAAGTGCAGGAAACCTACAGCACCTCTCAGGATCACTCGAACAATACGAATAGTTTTGCGGACCTAGTTCGGGCAGCAGACCGAGTTCAGACATCTGAATGCAACAGGCGGACGCGCCTGATGTCTTCAAATTCATTCCTGTGACTGCCAGCACTGTAGCTCCCCTACAGCCCGAGTTGAGTACAGAGAACCGACAGCATCTCTCAAGATGACTCGAACAATACGAATAGTTACGCGATTCTAGATCGAACAGCAGACCGAGTTCAGAGCTCTGAATTCAACTGACAACGGCCACTGATGATTCTGAATCAGATTCTGTACGTATCAGCTCTGTAGCTGTCCTGTAGCTCGAGTTAAGTACAGAAAACCGAGAGCGTCTGTCGAGATGACTCGAATAATACGAATAGGTTTGCGGACCTAGCTCGGCTAGCAGACCGAGTTCAGACCTCTGGGTTCGACAGGCGAACGCGCCTGATGATTCTGCATCGATTAGCTGTGCTTACCAGCTCTGTAGCTGTCCTATAGCTCGAGTTATCTTGAGAAAACCGACAGCGCGTATCAAGATGACTCGAAACGGCCGATCCCGCCGGAGTGCTTTTTGGCAGTAAAAGGTACCCGATCGAGCTGAGATCAAGATGGCGAGCGAGAATAAGATCGAATATCACGGGAAAAAATACTAGAGCTCTAACGAACGGTTGAATTTCGAAAAAAAATTCTCAACCGACCAAACTGGGCGCCGGCGGTAAACCGTCAACCTTTGTTACCGCCGGGGGACTCGTAGAGCTTCCTGACAATATATAATGTGCGGAAAAAAAGCAGAGAACGGATAGTTGTTCAGCCCGAGCGGTTTCAGACCTCTCGATGCAACAGCCGGACGCCCACGATGCTTCTCGACTGTCTTCTTTACGAGATCTGTAGCCCTCCTACAGCCCGAGTTACGTGCGTACATCGACAGCAGCTCTCAAGATGACTCTAACAAAACGAATAGTTTGGGAACCCAGCTCGAGTATCAAACCGAGTTCAGACCTCTGAATGCGAGAGGCGGACGCGTCTCATGTCTGCGAATCGGCTTCTGTGATTACCAGCTCTGCAGCCCCCCTACAGCCCGAGTTAAGTCAGAAAACCGACAGCACCTCTCAGAATGACTCGAACAATACAATAGTTTCGCAGACCTAGTTCGGCCAGCAGACCGAGTTCGGAGCTCTGGATGCGAGAGGCGGACGCGCCTCATGTCTGCAGATCGATTCCTGTGACCACCAGCACTATAGCCCCCCCAGCCCGAGTTGAGTGAAGAAAACCAAGAGCATTTCTCAAGATGACTCGACCAATACGAATAGTTTCGCAATTCTAGATCGGGCAGCAGACCGAGTTCAGAGCTCTGGATTCGACAGACAATAGCAACTGATGATTCTGAATCGGTTTCTGTAAATATCAGCTCTGCACCTGTCCTACAGATCGAGTTAAGTACAGAAAACCGAAAGCGCCTGTCAAGATGACTCGAATAATACGAATAGGTTTGCGGACCTAGCTCGGCTAACAGACCGAGTTCAGACCTCTGAATTCAACAGTCGAACGCGCCTAATCATTCTACATCGATTAGCTGTGCTTACCAGCTTTGTAGCTGTTCGAAAGAAAGCTCGCGTTATGTTCGGAAAACCGTCATCGCATCTCAAGATGACTCGAAACGGCCGATCCCGCCTGCCTGCTTTTTGGCAGTAAAACGTACCCGATCGAGCTGAGATCAAGATGGCGAGCAGGAATAAGATCGAATATCATGGGAACAAATACTAGAGCTCAAACGAATTGTTGAATTGGGCGCCGGCGGTAAACCGTCAACCTGGTTACCGCCGGGGAACTCGTAGAGCTCTTTTCTTGCCCAGCTCCTCGGAACACGTGAAGCAAGCTTAAGCGAGAGCCAAAAAACTTTAAAAAAAATCGATCGCATACAAATAGTTTTGCGGACTTAGCTCAAGAAGCAGACTCTGTTCAGAGCTCTAGATGCTTCTGCCAAACGCCCTTGATGATTATGTATCGGTTTCTGTGCGTACCACCTCTGTAGCTGTGCTACAGCTAGAGTTAAGTGCAGAATACCGACAGCGTCTCTAAAGAGAACTTCAGAAATACGAATAGTGTTGTGGACCTAGCTCGACTAGCAGAACGAGTTCAGGCCTCTCGATGCAACAGACGCAAGCGCCTGGTGATACTTAAACTATGTGCGCACCAGCTCTGTAGCTCCTCTGAATCTTGAGTTGAGCACAGAAAACCGGCATCACTGGTGAAGATGACTTTTACGGACCTAGCTCGGGAAGCAGACCGAGTTCAGGCCTCCGGATGCAACAGGCGAACGCGCCTGATCATTCTGAGTCGGTTTCTGTAAGTATCAGCTTTGTAGCTCTCGAAAGCTTGTGTTAAGTACAGAAAACCGTGAACGCGTGTCAAGATGACTCCGAACGCAGTTGGTTCCAGCAAGTCTTTTGATAGTAACATTGCAGCTACGGACCTGAGAATTTAAGTGGCAGACGCGGCATCAACCACTACACGTGAGAAAAATACCGGTTCTCAAAATGAAGTATCAAATATCTTTCAAATTAAAGCAAAACCGACCCAAGGTTATCACATTGTCTGTTTTGGTCGGATCGGCCAACTAGCTCCACCCCGCGCCGGAATTCCTGTAGCTCATCGATGCCGAAGAGCTCTACGAGGTATTTTTGGACTGCCAACATGAAGTCGGTCCCTGGCTTCGCTCGGGAGAATTGTTCGACGGAATGAACTAAGAATTTGAGGTAACTTCTGTAATGCCAAGCTTCGCACTGCGCAAATAGCAGCCCAAACGAATTGTTAGAACTGCAAAATCGGCTGAGCCAGGCCGCGGAAGGTATGATCGCGTCCCTTTTCGACATTTCGCCAACTAGCTCCACCCTGTTGCCGAATTCCTCTAGCTCTTCTACCATCAGAGCTCTACGAGGCACTAGAAGTGCAAGGAGACGCCTGAGAGAACTAGAAGTGCAAGCAGATGGCTTCTGATGGCATGTGCTGCAAAACTAGAAAATTGTATTTTTGGGCTGCCAACGTTAAGTCGGTCCCTGGTTTCGCTCGGGAGAATTTTTCGACGGAATGAACTAAGAATTTTTTAGGTAACTTCTGTACTGCCAAGCTTCGCTCTGCGCAAATAGCAGCCCAAACGAATTGTTAGAACTGCAAACTCGGCTGAGCCAGGCCGCGGAAGGTATGATCGCGTCCCTTTTCGACATTTCGCCAACTAGCTTCACCCTGTCGCCGAATTCCTCTAGCTCTTCTACCATCAGAGCTCTACGAGGCATTTTGAGAACGAAATTTTCAACCGACCAAAAGTCACCAAAAGGTCCGTCGAGATTTATCTTGCCAACTAGCTCTCCAGCGCTCCGGAATTACTCTTAAGCTTCCAGCTAAGGGAAGCTCTACGAGTTAAGTCACCAAAAGGCATGTCGAGATTTTTCTTGCCAACTATGTTCGGGTTAAACCCCTGCCCCGGGAAGGAAGGTAGCATGTAGCGTAGCAGAAGCATCAATCCCATGAAGTGGGATAGCAGTTGGGTGTAGCATTGCATGCAGCACGGCCGATCGGCAGAGAGACTGACCGGAAACGTTTCGGCTCAAGAGCGCAAGGGAGTAAAAGCAATACTCCCTCAACATGGTAGCGGAGCCTGGTCAGATCTGAGACAAGCGGGTAGCTCCGTGGTCTCAGGTTCGGCTGGGCTCCTCTGTGCATGGGCAAACAGAGACTTCGATCTGCAGAGTCGAGGTCCAACCGACAACTACGAGGCTCGGCGCTGCGACGACACGCGGCGGGCGAGCAGCCAACCACAGAGGAGCAGAGGGCCTTGAACCTGAAGCGCCTCAAGAAGGAGATCGACGACGACCTCGACGAGCTCCACAATGGAGGAACAATTCAAAGCAGTGTTAGAAAGACTCCAGCGCTTGGAGGACGAGAACACGCAGCTGAAGGAGCAGCTCAAGAAGAACGAGGACGACGAGGCCAGGAAGAAGGAGGCCGACGACGCCAAGAAGAGCGAGGCCGCAGCTCGTGCGAGAGCTACCCCGCTGGTCCCGACCAGCGTGGACACCAAGCTGATCAACAAGCCAGGCGAGTTCAGTGGGAAGGAAGCGGACTGGCGGAGGTGGTCTGTGACCATGCGGGCCTACCTCGGAGCGGTGTCCGGCCGGATGCTGGAGCTCATCCGGAAAGCCGAGAACTTCGACGAGAGCCTCGACAGGGTGGACTTGGACCCGGGCGACGACCAGCTGGACGCACAGTTGTACTTCATCCTGACCATGTTGCTCAAGGAGAACATGATGGAGAAGCTAGAGACCGTCGAGTACGGAGAAGGTCTCCTACTGTGGAGGCTCCTGATGGCGGAGTTCGAGCCGAAGTTCGCGTCTCGCAAGATGGCCCTGCAGCAGGCGTACCTCAACTTCACCTTCAACAAGGACGAGGACCCGCGGAAGGGCATCGACAGGCTCGAGACGCAGATCCGCCAGTACCAGGCCGCCACCAAGAAGACCGTCGACGACGACACCCGGACCGGCGTGCTGCTGAAGGCGCTGGCCGCCGGCAGCGAGTTGCAGAAGAAGCTGGGCGACCACCTCGTTCTCAACGCGTACCGCGTGGACACCTTCATCGAGATGAAGAGGGAGATCCAGGAGTACCTCGGAGTCAAGCAGTGGCTCGTCCCCGGCGGTTCGGCGGAAGTCCTGGCCGTGGGAGCCGGCGGTAAAACTAGCCAGAAGGGCCAGGTGAAGGGCGAGCTCAAGATCAAGTTCGCCGGAGATTGCTTCTGCTGTGGCAAGCCTGGCCATAAGAAAGCAGACTGCTGGTGGAACGCAGAGAAAAAGGCACCACCGCCGAGCGCTGGAAAAGGACGAGGAGGAGGAGGAAAAGGTAAGGATAGGGAAGGAAAAGGGAAAGGACGAGGAGGAAAAGGTAAAGGAAAGGATAGCAAAGGAGGAGACGAGAGGAGGAGCCATGCCGATCCGCAGAGGACAGGAGGACAGGCGCCAGGATCGTCCACCGACAGAGACCCGAGCAGGAAGAGGCAGAGGGTGGACATCGCTGCGATCGAGGAGCAGCTGCGGGCGCTCAGCCTGAACATCGGCGCGCTGAAGGACCAGGACTGCGGGAGCGTGGAGCTGTGCCAGGTTTCCGAGCAGAAGGTCGGCATGGTCCACGCCCAGACGACGACGAACCACGTCACGATGGGCCTGGACAGCGGCGCGGAGGTCACGGCGTGGCCCCCGGAGCTCTTCCCGCAGGTGGCCACGGAGGAGAGTCCAGAATCTCGTAGGGGAGTCAAGTACTTCGGACCCGGAGACCGTGAGACCCCTAGCCTTCCCAATCTTGGACGACGACGGTACGATTTGAGGATAGGAGGTTTGAGGAGGAGCGCCAACGTGAACGTTGTGCCGGTGAGGAAGCCTCTGCTGGCGATGTGCTCGATGATGGACGCCGGCCACGACCTGCATTTCAAGCGCGGCGGCCGGTGCTACGCCAAGCACTGCAGGACCGGGGAGGAGATCGAGATCACACGTCGAGGAGGTAAATTTGAAATCGACGCCGAGGTTGCGCTGCCGCCGCCACCCCCTCTCGGGGGGCCGGCGTGTCCGCAAGTCCCCTGGAGTCCGGCTCAGGAGGGGCAGGCGGCAACAATGCCGCACCTGAGCCGAGTAGTAGCCCTATGGAGGAGGATGGGACGGACGAGCAGCAGGAGCAGCAGCAGCAGCACATCGAGCACGAGATCTTCGGGACTCGGGGAGGCGGCGTACCGGCGATGATGGCACCGAACCTCCCGACGCCGGAGGAGAGAGCGAGGCATGAGATCGATCACATGCCCTATGCTGCTTGGTGCCGTAGCTGTGTGGCTGGCAAGGGAAAGGCGGATCCACACTTCCTGAAGACGTCCGACGATTTTGGCGTCCAGGGAGTGGCTTGCGACTACTGTTTCATGGGTGACGCAGTCGAGAGCGACAAGGCTACCGACAAGTGCTTGCCAATCCTTGTCCACAAGTTCTACGGCGATCGGTGGGTATCGGCACGCGTGGTCCCACGCAAGGGCCCAGAAACGTACGCTGTGAAGGCCACGGTGGACGACGTGATGCAGGCAGGCTTCGCCAAGTTTACGTACAAGAGCGACGGGGAGCCTGCGATCAAGTCGCCCAAGCAGGAGGTGGTGAAGAAGCTACGGGAGGTTGCTGGCCCTGTGGACGTCATCTTGGAAGGGAGCGGCACGTCCGAGTCACAGCAGAATGCTGTTGTCGAGCGTGCTATCTGGGAGGTCCAGAGCACGGCTCGCACCCTAGTGCACGCATGCTTGGAACATCATCGCGCCCAGGTGCCGCTCAAGCACCCTCTGAGGATCTATGCCGTGGAGTACGCAGGGCAACTATTGAACAGGTCCCAGCGTGCCGCCAAGGACAACAGGACCGCCTACGAGATACGCAAGGGCAAGCCCTATCGCCGGAAGCTGCCTCCATTCGGGGAGGCCGTGATGTACATGCCGGTATCAACGGTACGGCGGCGACGGAAGTTCGAGGACAGGTGGGAGACCGGCATATACTTGGGGCTGGTGGAGCGCAGCAACATGTTGCTCGTAGGCACGCCCCGCGGCGTCTTCAAGGTGAACTGCGTGAAGCGGTTGCCGGCGATCCAGTCCAGCGATCCGGAGCTCTTGAAATCCATCGTGGGGGTCCCCTGGGACCCAGTACCGGGAGAACCAGGAGGCCAAACCGTCGACTACGAGCCCCTCCGGGCGACTGAACCGATCGCCCCTGAAGCGGAGTTGCCCCCACGAGTTCCGAAACCAAGATCTCCAGAAGTTATTCCGAGGAGGTTCTACATTCGTCGTGAGGTTGAGCTTCGAGCGTACGGTTTCTCAAATAATTGTCCTGGATGTGCAGCGGCATTTGAAGGCCGACCAGCACGATTACACACGCAGGAGTGCCGTAACAGGATCGAGGCGGCGATCTTGGCGGACGAGAGGTCCGAGGTTCGACAGCGAGTCGAGGAAGCTCATCGTAGACGGGGTGAGGCAGGAGCACCACCAGACAGACGACCAGGAGGAGCACAGGTTCTACGACCAGGTGAAGTCGCAGGAGAGGTGCCGACGGAAGCGCGTAGCCCCGCGCCGTCGGACCAGCCAGGGAGCGTGCCGGTAGCGGGTAGCACCGCGCCGGCCGACGCTCGGAGGCAGCCAGGGAGCGCGCCGGAAGCGGGTAGCACCGCGCCGGCCGACGCTCCGAGCCAGCCGGATTCGCCGGAAGCGGGTAGCACCGTGCCGGCTCGCAGTCCAGGCGAGGCTCAGGACCCCCTTCGAGCAGAAGCGGGTAGCACCGCACTGCGGAGAGGTGAGGTCAGAGCTGGGGACGACCCAGCAGGTGGTCCGCACGATCGGGCTGCCAAGAGGGCGCGGCGCGAGGTCGCGGAGATCGTGGGCGAGCTGATGCACCTAGGGGCGATCGGGTCGCGGCTGCAGGAGGCGATCCGGCAGCCTATCAAGGACGACGTCGACGTGATCGAGTCGGAGGTGTTCTGCAGGAAGCGGTTCGCTGACCAGGCGTCCCGGTGGGGAGTGCACCCCGGGGTCGCACTAGATCTGACTACGGGTTGGGATCTTAAGAATCAGACGCATGTGGAGCAGGCGGAAGGCCTCCGGGGCACTCTCCGCCCAAAGCTGCTGATTGGGCGTGCGCATTTTCGAGACAGTCGCAACCTTTACCACAAGCAGTTGCAAGACGGTCACTATTTCCTCCACGAGCGCGTGAACGGTGCCGCCCCTGGCCACGAGCAGGGGGGGAGGGAGGAAAAGGAAGAGAATGATGGTAGCCATCTGCTGGGGCATGAGAGCGCCCAGCATGTGAAGGCCGGAAGGGCCGCAGAATGGCTGACCAACTCCGGATGCATCGCCGAGGAACTCACGAAGCTCCAGGGCGGCGATCGCGAGAATGCCATCAGCAGCATAGTGACCATGAGTCCCATGGTGGCGAGTAAGCCGGCCATAGTGGCGGCTGTGTTGAGAGGGCTGCGTAGACAGCTGCAGCAGGACGATGCGGTCAGCATCAACGCCCTGGAGCCGGGCATTACCGGCCACGAAACCCAGGAGTGGGACGAAGACGGGCTCGAGCAGTTCTTCGACGAGCTGACGGGCGAACGGTTGAACTCCCGAGACGTCAGGGAAGCCAAAGTCAAGGAAATCGAGTTCCTTCGTACTTTCCCTGTCTATGAAAAGGTGCCAGAGGCGATGGCCAAGGGCAAAGAGTTCATCTCGACAAGGTGGACCATAACCAACAAAGGGGACGTAAACGCACCAGACGTTCGAGCTAGATTCGTCGGGCGTGAGTTCAAGTGGAAGTCGCCGGCGATGGAGAACAGATTTGTCGCGACTCCACCATTGGAGTTGTTGAAGTACTTGTTGTCTTGGTTCCAGTCGCGCAGGAGGGGGCCAGCCAGAAGCCCAGGAGAGCGTAAGATCTTAGTTTGGGACGTTTCTCGAGCGCATTTTCATCCGAAGTGCCGCCGGGAGCTGTACATCCGGCTGCCAGAAGAGGACGCTCAGGCAGGCTTCGTGGGCAGGTTGTTGCGCACCCTGCACGGGACACGAGATGCAGCAAACGCCTGGGACGAATTCTTCAACGAAGCCATCGTCAGGCGCGAGTACGAGGTGGGGCTGTCATCACCTTGTTTGTACTACTGCGCTGCCGAGGACAGTGCTGGGTGGCGCCACGGAGACGATCTCGTTTTCGAGGGACCTGATCCGGAATTACTGGGCGCCGGCGGTAAACCGTCAACCTTTGTTACCGCCGGGGGACTCGTAGAGCTTCCTGACAACATATAATGTCGAAAAAAATTACACTGAAAAAATAGTTTCTCAACCCAAGCAATTTCAAAACTCTCGGATGAAACAGCCGAACGCCCCCGATGCTTATGGATTGTCTTCTGTACGAGCTCTGTAGCTCTCCTACAGCCCGAGTTACGTGCGTAAATCGACAGCACCTCTCAAGATGACTCGAACAATACGAATAGTTTGGAAAACCTAACTCGAGTATCAGACCGAGTTCAGACCTCTGCATGCGACAGGCGGACGCGTCTGATGTCTCTTAACGATTCCTGTGATTACCAGCCCTGCAGCCCCCCCTACAACCCGAGTTAAATGCAGAAAACCGACAGCACCTCTCAGGATGACTCGAAGAATACGAATAGTTTCGCGAATCTAGTTCGGGCAGCAGACAGAGTTCGGAGGTCTGGATTCGAAAGGCGGACACGCCTGATGTCTTCGAATCGATTCCAGGATTACCAGCCATGCAGCCCCCCTACAGACCGAGTTAAGTGCAGAGAACCGACAGCATCTCTCAAGATGACTCGAACAACACGAACAGTTTCGCGATTCTAGATCGGGCAGCAGACCGAGTTCAGAGCTCTGACTTCAATAGACAACGGCAACTGATGATTCTGAATCAGATTCTGTACGTATCAGCTCTGTAGCTGTCTGTAGCTCGAGTTAAGTACAGAAAACCGAGAGCGTCTGTCAAGGTGACTCGAATAATACAAACAGGTTTGCAGACCTAGCTCGGCTAGCGACCGAGTTCAGACCTCTGGGTCAACAGGCGAACGCGCCTGATCATTCTGAATCGATTAGCTGTGCTTACCAGCTCTGTAGCTGCCCTCAAGCTCGAGTTATCTCGAGAAAACCGACAGCGCGTATCAAGATGACTCGAAACAGCCGATCCCGCCGGAGTGCTTTTTGGCAGTCGAGCTGAGATCAAAATGGCGAGCGGGAAATAAGATCGGATATCACGGGAAAAAAAACTAGAGCTCTAACGAATTGCTGAATTTCGATAAAAAAAACAGCCCCCTGCAGCCCCCATGAGCCCGAACCGAAAGCACCTCTTAGGATGACTCGAACAATACGAATTTTCGCGGACCTAGTTCGGGCAGCAGACTGAGTGCGGAGCTCTGGATTCGAAAGGCAGACACACCTGATGTCTTCGAATCGATTCCAGGGATTACCAGCCATGCAGCCCCCTCACAGCCCGAGTTGAGTGCAGAGAACTGACAGCATCTCTCAAGATGACTCGAACAATACGAATAGTTTCGCGATTCTAGATCGGGCAGCAGACCGAGTTCAGAGCGAGACAACGACCACTGATGATTCTGAATCAGATTCTGTACGTATCAGCTCTGTAGCTGTCCTGTAGCTCGAGTGGAGTACAGAAATCCGAGAGCGTCTGTCAAGATAACTCGAATAATACGAATAGGTTTGCGCACCTAGCTCGGCTAGCAGACGAGTTCAGACCTCTGGGTTCAACAGGCGAACGCACCTGATCATTCTGAATCGATTAGCTGTGCTTACCAGCTCTGTAGCTGTCTTAAAGCTCGAGTTATCTTGAGAAAACCGACAGCGCGTGACAAGATGACCCGAAACGGCCGATCCCACCGGAGTGCTTTTTGGCAGTAAAAGGTACCCGCTGCGATCAAGATGGCGAGCGGGAATGAGATCGGATATCACGGCAAGAAATACTAGAGCTCTAACGAATGGTTGAATTTCGAGAACAAATTTTCAATCGACCAAAAGTCAGCAAAAGGTCTGTCAAGATTTTTCTGGCCAACTAGCTCTCCAGCGCCCCGAAATTACTCTTAAGCTTCCAGCAAAAACTTGCTAAGGGAAGCTCTACGAGTTATTTCAACCGACCAAAAGTCAGCAAAAGCTCCGTCGAGATTTTTCTTGCCAACTAGCTCTCAAGCGCCCCGGAACTGGGATCCGGCGGTAAACCGTCAACCAGGTAACCGCCGGGAGCCTCGTAGAGCTCTATTCTGGCGCGGCGCTGCTCGAAGCACACGAAAGAAGCTTTCTGAAGCGTGAAGAAGAAATATCGGAAATATGTTTTTAAAATTTTGCATCTTCGCTTCGTCGACCTAGCTGCCAGACCGAGTTCGGACCTCTCGATGCGAGAAAAATCGCGCCGGATATACTGAGTCGGTTTATATGCGCGCCAGCTCTGTGGCTCTTCTGAATCTTCAGTTAAAGGAAACACTCGTCAGAACGATTGTATATTACAAATAGTTTTGTGGGCCTTGCTCGAGCAGCAGACCGAGTTCAGACCTCTCGATGGGACAGACGAACGTGTCTGATGATTCTGAATCGGTTTCTGTAAGAATCAGCTCTGTAGCTGTCCTAAATCTCGAGTTAAGTGAAGAAAACTGTCAACGCGTCTCAAGATGACTCGAAACGGCCGACGGTTCCCTCAAGTCTTTTATAGTAACTGGGCGCCGGCGGTAAACCGTCAACCTTTGTTACCGCCGGGGGACTCGTAGAGCTTCCTGACAAAATATAATGTCGAAACAAATTACACGGAAAAAATAGTTTTCAGCCCAAGCAATTTCGGACCTCTCGGATGCGACAGCCGATCGCCCCGATGCTTCTGGATTGTCTTCCGTATGAGCTCTGTAGCTCTCCTACAGCCTACGTGCGTAAATCGACAGCACCTCTCAAGATGACTCGAAAAATACGAATAGTTTGGAAAACCTAACTCGAGTATCAGACCGAGTTCAGACCTCTGCATGCGATAGGCGGACGCGTCTGATGTCTCTGAATCGATTCCTGTGATTACCAGCCCTGCAGCCCCCACTACAGTCCGAGTTAAGTGCAGGAAACCCACAGCACCTCTCAGGATGACTCGAACAATAGGAATAGTTTCGCAGACCTAGTTCGGGCAGCAGACAGAGTTCGCAGCTCTGGATTCGAAAGACGGACGCGCCTGCTGTCTCGAATCGATTCCAGTGATTTCTAGCCATGCAGCCCCCCTACGGCCGGAGTTAAGTGCAGAGAACCGACAGCAGCTCTCAAGATGACTCGAACAGTACAAATAGTTTCGCGATTCTAGATCGGGCAGCAGACCGAGTTCAGAGCTCTGGATTCAACAGACAACGGCCACTGATGTTTTCTGTGAATATCGGCTCTGTAGCTGTCCTACAGCTCGAGTCAAGTACGGAAAACCGAGAGTTTCTCTCAAGATAACTCGAATAACACGAATACGTTTGCGGACCTAGCTCGGCTAACAGACCGAGTTCAGACCTCTGGATTCAACAGGCGAACGCGCCTAATCATTCTATATCGATTAGCTGTGCTTACCATCTCTGTAGCTGTCCTAAAGCTCGAGTTATGTTCAGAAAACCGTCAGCGCGTATGAAGATGACGCAAAACGGCCGATCCCGCCACAGTGCTTTTCGATTGTAATATTCATCCGATCGAGCTAAGATCAAGATGGCGAGCGGGAATAAGATCAAATATCACGGGAAAAAATACTAGAGCTCAAACGAATTGTTGAATTCCGAGAACAAAATTTTCAACCGACCAAAAGTCACTAAAAGTTCCGTCGAGATTTTTCGAGCCAACTAGCTCTCCAGCGCGCCAGAATTACTCTTAGCTTCCAGCATTAACTTGCTAAGGGAAGCTCTACGAGTTATATTACAGCTACAGACCTCGAAATTTAACTGGAAGACGCGGCATAACCCGCTACAGGTGGGGAAAAAACCTGTTTCTAAAACAAACTTTCAAATTTTGCACAAAGATAGACTAACCGACTTCAAGTCGCCACATTGTCTCTTAAGGTCGGGTCGGCCAACTAGCTCCAGCCGCGCCCGAATTCCTCTTAGCTCATCTTGTCGATGAGCTCTACGAGGTATTACTCGAAACTCCCGCAATAAGTGGGTAGCGTCCCAAACCCGAAGAGTAAACGGCGCACTCACGAGAAAGCTTTCCTGACGGGCCCTCCAACTGGCGTCGGCGGTGAACCGTCAATCTGGTCACCGCCGGGAACCTCGTTGAGTTCCTTGCATCCGTGAGAAAGCTCAGCATCAAAGCGGCAGCTTCTGGGAGCTTTTCTACAAAAACTTCAAGTTGAGATGTTTCGGAGTTACCATGAAGTCGGTTCCTCCAAGTGAACTGGTACTGAAAATGACTCTAGAGGGCTGAGCTGCTCAGGGAACAAAGTTTATATCTCAATGCTCGGAGTAAAAATCTGCTTTCTCAAAATGAATTGTCAAATATCTTTCAAAAAATTGCAAAACCATCCAAAAGTTGCCACATTGTCCGCCTCGGCCGGCTCGGCCAACTGGCGCCGGCGGTGAACCGTCTACCTGGTCACCGCCGAGAACCTCGTAGAGCTCCTTTTACGCGAAAGAGTGCTCAGAGTCGAAAGAGAGAACTTCTGGAAGCATTTCTCGAAAAGGGTAAAAAGATGCATTTTTCGTGTCGACATGAAGATGGTTCCCCCAAGTGTTTTGATAGTAAAACTGGGCGCCGGCGGCAAACCGTCAACCTTTCTTACAACCGGGAGACTCGCAGACCTTCTTGACAAAATATAGTGTTGAAAGAAAACTCCAAAGAACGACTAGTTTTTCAGCCCAAGATGACCCTAACAAAAACAAATAGTTTCGTAACCCAGTTCGAGTATAAAACCGAGTTCAGACCTCTGTATGCGACAGGCGGGCGCGTCTGATTTCTGCGAACAATCATGTGATTCCCAGCCCTGCAGCCCTCCTACAGCCCGAGTTGAATGCATAAAACCGACAGTATCGACTCGAATAATAGAATAGTTTCGCGAATCTAGTTCGAGCAACAGACCGAGTTCCGAGCTCTCGAATCGACCGACAGACGCGCCT